CTGTGTTCTTGGGCCTCGAAAATGCTGCTGAAAAATTAGCCAGTTTATTCTTTTGAGGTTATTAGTAAAAAAACATTTACAAAAATAACACTGTGCAATATGTGATCCAGATGTGCAGAGATACAGATGTTCCCGGGGACTAGAACACCACCGTGGACTGATCTGAATGCATTTAAAAACAGCATCATTTCTCCAAATTGGGCCTTTTTTTAACCTTTTTTATTGCTTTAAGTGGCTGCCATCAGCTGGGATGGAAGTGCGTTTCCAGAGACGGTATTTCCAGAGGAAGCTGGGATCCTACAGGTCTTCTGCAGGTCTTCTGTCTTTCTGATGTTTGGACTCACCCGGCACCCAAAAAGGCTCAAGACCCGGATCCAGGAGGCTGGTCCAGCTCTGGTAAGGATTGTGGTACCTCTGGAGATGACCATGCAAAGAGGGATTTTGCATGAGATGAGGAACGTTATGGAGAACCCTGACCAACCCCTGAAACAGAGGTTCTTCAGCCAGAGGCTTCTTCAGACCACCGGACCCCTACAGAAGCTCCTTCCTGCCTCATCAAATATTCCATGAGGAACACGAACTTTGAGGCACGTTGGAATATTTCCTTTATTTGAATTAGAATTGAAGGATGACAGGGTGTAGAATTTAAGAAGTGTCGCCAATTTTTGTTTGTTTTTATTGTCAATATGTCATCTGTTCTTAAAGTGTACAGTCACAAACCTGTAGCATCACTTCCCAATAAATGGGGACAAATTCCTGGTGTGGTTTAACTTGACTGTGATATCAACTTCCATTCTATCCATTTCAGAAATGGATTCTCGTTATTTTCTACTCAGTGTGAACTGAAGGATGTTGATAGTTAGTGTTTTTTTATATAAACTGTTTGTTCTGATTCTTGAGTGAAGGATAAAGTGATAAACGGGTAGAAAACTGGAGGGAGGGATAGAGGGAGATCTGGAGTGGGAGTGGCTGAATCATGGCCTCTGTGAGTGTTAGAGTGAAAAGATGAAGATCAGTCACACTGAGCCCTGTGACCAACACGGAACTAAAGTCAACAACGCTCTAATGTCCCAACCAGCTCTGGAACATAGCTCATTTCTCACGGTTTGTTGCGCAGGCTAACGTCTTACTGTTCTGGTCAAGGCATCGCTAACTCGTTTGTTCACAGCCGATTAGAGGAAGAACAAGGACGGCTCTCACCGGGGGCCAGGGCCGGAGCCTGGAATCCGGTCTGGTCTGGGCCTGAGACCCCTCTGGTTCCACCGGTCAAGGGGAATTCTGTGTGGCAGATTGTGGGCCAAAGGAGCCATTCAGGCAGAGATTTTTCACAGGAGTGAAGTAGGTAGTGTGATAAGACGGACTGTGATGGTCAGTCAGGACAACATCCCAGCTGCCTCTGGAGAAAGGCCGAAGGACACCCTGGACAGCCCATGTCAGTCATTAGTGACTAAAACCTGAAAACAATTGTCAATTTCAGTCAGAATGCTCCTCCAGGAGATTAAAAAACTATACGAGTAGTACTTTTTCCTTTTGAATGTGGAGCTCTACATACAGCTGTCAGACTACTTGGCATTTTAAGGCTGAGTGGTGAGTAGATTTGGGGTTTCCTGACAGGAATGCCTTTTATTGGTCAGATTTAACCGGACCCCTGTCCACTTTAGCTTAGACAGCTTTTGGTCCACCTTAAAAAATGACCTATTAACAAACGTTTTTACTGTTTTCTCTGGTGGAGGGATTAAAGAAAAATAAACCCCAAACATGGGGCTAAACCCACCAGTTGACCAGCGGTCAGATCCATCAGTACGATTTCAATGAGCAGCATGGACATAATGATGATTCTGCAGATGGAGAACAATGTGTTTTCTCCTGGTTTAGGATGAGGAAAAGC